TAACACAGAGATGCAAGATCCAAAACAGACAGAAGAAACAGAATTCTATATGGTCACGACAGAAGAAACAGAATTCTATACGGATACGATAAGAGTATTTGAGATTACCACAGAACCTTACCTTAACCCGGAATCGAATCATGGCCAGACGTACACAATGCCCCAAGCAGGCAGGAGGAAGAAACCAGGCTCGCGGTGGAGGGGTACCTTTGTTGCCCACATGCCCTGCAATTAGCTGAGCTGTCTGTCTCTCAGCCTGGGTCTTCCTGGCCCACTCAGGCAGCCTCTCCTTTCCAAGCCCTCCATTGAAGATGACAGCTAACTCCAGCCCACCTTGGTACAGGCAAGCCTGTGAAAGGGCAGCCAGGTAACCCACCATTGCATTCCACTGGCCTCCGCACACCCAGTCTGTCTGGTAGCCACCGTACAGACGCTGCAAAGCAGAATCAGCATCCACCAGAAGCCGAGCCGGGCATGGCGCTGGGGGTGCCAACCCCCCTGCATGCTGGGAGTGTGGGTAAGGGCTAGCACCAACCATGGGTGCCAGCCCCGGTGCAGCCCCGGCAGGATGGGGGTAGCCAGCTGGTGGGTGGAAGGTGGTACAGTAGGCAGGGCCCCCGCCTCCCCGGCCCCCTACAGCCCGTGCCAGTTTCAGTAGGTCCACGGGCACCACTGCCCCTGGGCAACGCTTTTCCACGAACTCTTGGAAGCCTTGCACTCCCATGGCTGTGCACAACTGTGGGGATGCAGCCCACTTCCACTGGGGCAAACAGGGAAGGCTGAGGAGGGGCTGGCACCCCGAAACCAGGACCTGGCACAGTCCAAGCTGTTCCAGCTCCTGGGGCTTCGCTTCTTACAGTTCCCAGATCTGAGGAATGGATGCCACCGCCATATTGTAGCTTTCTTCTTCTCCTCCTCCTCCTCCTCTTGCCTCCTCCTTTTCCTCAGTTTAGACAGTAGCTCATCGGGAGTTGTAGTTTTATTTTTCTCCGCTACCTATTAGTCAGCGCACAGTGGGACTACAAGTCCCGAAAGAAAGCAAGAACCGCCATGTTGTAAAGTTTTCTTCGCGGTTTCCTGGCGTCGCATAGATTTATGGGGTTTGTAGTCCCGTTAAAGAAAAGCATCCCCCCCGTAAAATCTACGTTGTGGAAAAAGTAAATTAAAACTACAATTCCCGAGGACTTCAGACGTCCACCATCTTTTTTTTGAAAGAACCCGTCTTCCGTGACGTTATACGGCCACATGCTAGGTGCGGAAGTCAAAACAATTATTCCAAACATGGCTTTGAAAATACTACAACTTCCAGCAATCTCCGCGCATTAACGTAAATCCGTCCTACATTTTTTTTTTTTGTCTCTGCCACGTAGGTGCCCTCTACCGCCCCTCGGGAGCATGACCTAGTTCTACACGCGGGACGAGACCGCCACCTAAGAAGGGAAAAGAACGGCGAGCTCTTCATTCGAGCTGCGCCTCAGCCATATTAGCACGGCGCTTGGCATGCTGGGGGATGTAGTCTGTCACCCCCTTTTTCAGGGTTTCAGATGTTTTCCCTCCCCGCTGGTCCCCAGAGCGTCGTCCCGGGCGCCATGTTGAAAGGAAGGGTGACATTATTTTCAGCCCTCCTCCTTTTTCTTAAAAACTCGCGGGGCCTACCGATCCTCCCATGCAGTCTTGCTTACTCGGACGTAAACCCCCCCCCCCCAGAAGGCGGCGGAGCTGCCTGGTTTTCATCAGTCTCGCGCGGTCCGCCACGTTTAGCGAACGCGGGAAACTTAAGCTGGCGCCACCTGGTTGCGCAGAGCGGAGCAAAACCGCCGGTGCCAGCAGCGCCCCAGAGCCAGCAGTTCCCGCTCTGCTCCGACCTCGAAACCCTTCGTCGCGGAAAGCCATCTGATCCTGCGGCACAGCCAGGCCACGTCCGCACTCTCGGATGCATATAGTCTCTCCTCCCGCCCGCCCCCCCCCCGGCTCCTCCATACCAGACCTTGGGAATGAATCTATTTCGCTTTAAAATATTCCAGCGAATGAAACCGGGGACGGCGCTGGCATTTTCAAATACAGCTGGTGTCAGAAGCAGCAGGATGTGCTCTAGCTAAATGAGAAGAATGTTTCAACGCTTACAGCTCCTTCACTATATTTTCATAATTATAGTAACCTTTTCATTATGAGTCCAGAGCTTTGCCAGTAGGAGAGAGAATTTTTATTAACCCACCAACCACACAAAACTATCGAGAACAGGGCAAAATTGCCAGGACCCACCAGTTATTATAGATTGTTCTATAATACTACTCGCAGGTTCTGACTTCAATTTTACTTTAAACGTGCCTGCTTCAATTCTATACCATTATGTTCCAGCTTTTATACCATCCTTCAATTATTAGATTTTTATCCCACCTTTATTACTTTTTTTTAAATAAATAACTAATAGTGATGAATACGATACTTCCTCCTCCTCCTCTTTTCCCCACAACAACCCTGGAAGTGGGTTGGGCTGAGAGTGAGTGACTTACCCAAAGTTGCCCAGTCTGAAGTAAATTCAAAGACTTCCTATCTGGTTTTCTTCTGGATTCCTTAACTTTCACCAAGAATCTAACCTGTGTTACTGGAATCCCATATTGTTTGGTTTGACTTTACATGTAGCACAAACTCAAGTCACTGGGGATTGCAAGCCATTATGATTAGCATGATGAGTGAAGCATGTATGCATTTTATTACTCTTGTGTAACAAAATTCTGGAGTAATAGCCATTTAAAAATTGAGTATTCAAATGCAATGAAGGCTTTGCAGCACCTTAATAACTATCTTGTAAGAATGGAGAATAGTCCTTGGCAGAACTACCACACTACCCCCTCCCACTAAATCTTGCCAAGTTCAGGTTGGCATCATGGTGAAAGTAGTGATACGAAGAAAACTTTTTGTTTCCTGTTTTTTGATGGCAGTTTGTAAATTTGGATAAATAAGTACAATTACACCCTTAGAAAGGTATGATTTCTGCTGTAAACATGCATTTTCAGAAACACTGAATGTGTTTCCTATTTTAGCAATAAAGACCAGGCACTTTTTTTTCCCAACACAGCCTTTATTTTCCTTTGTAACAGTTTAAAAAAATATTTGTTAATGGTTGTGTACAAATGAAGTCAACTCACAGCTTGCAAAAATAATTAAAAAACACATGGAAACAACTGCTGATAAAAGACATTCGTTTTCTACCATAAAGTTTTAGGACTATGTTTTTTTTAAAAACTGAATGGGATGCCTCATCCATGTAATAATGAACAGGTCACCCACATTCTATGTTTAGTCAGAAACAGCTCAGCTTTAATGCCAAGTTGATGGGTTGAAAAGTCCTATGATGTTACATTAAGATATAATTCACATCGAGATATAAGAAAATTCCAATTTCCGAATGTCTGAAAGTGAAATATTGCCAATTTGTGTAAATCTAAGGAGACATTTATTCACAGGATACACCTGATCATGTTGTCATACATTATAGGCCCACGTGCTCTTCAGTTATTTCTAGCAAAGAATAAAGGGGGGGGGGAACAAACAGGCCTCTCTTCAAATAGGATACTTTTTTTTTTTAAATAGAGACGTCCTTTGTTGTATTAGAATGTTTAGAACCACAGCACCTCCAATGTGATCACCACACCAACTAGTAAGGGATACTGTGTGGCCTAAATTAACCATAACAATAAGCCACAAACATCCTGCTTAGGATGCTTTAAAAGTGGAACAGAAACTGATACCTGGAAGTAAATTAAATCCACGGCAACTAGGAGCTCTACTATCCAGCTGTTCATGTACCTAACGTCATGTATAACAGAACCTGGATGTACATTTCTACAACTCTCAAAGATACTATTTGCTGTCCTCCTGCACTTACCATCTTTTGTCAATGGAAATGAGAGAGAGAAAAAAGCTTAATAAAATGCTGGACAGATAGCCTCAAGGGATCAGCTGGACGTCTAAAAGGCAAGAACACATTCAGACTTCGGTAGAGTGTTTTGTAATTCATTGCCTATCACTGAGGGCTAGTTAGTATTTGGTATGTGGATCATTTCACTACAGAAAAACAGTCTGCCATGTAAAATATAAGGTACTTGCTACAACTGTATTCCTGTGAGAATTGGCTTCCCAAACAATACTTTATTACTCTTGCAATCAAAGAAATAATGACATGAACAATTTAGGAAATTCCTATGATATAATTATTGTAATGAAAGGAAGAAAACTATTAAGAAATGACTGAATTCTTCCAGCATGCTAAATGCTAGAACCACTGCTAATTTAAATTGGCTCAGTTCCATTAACTTCAAGGAGACATATATGCACAAAGAGGTTAGTTAAAAACAGGTATGCTAAGACTCTTGTTCATTGCACTTTAATTCTAAGGCAGCTAGTAGAATCATAACATATATTGTATACATTGGAAATAACTGTATAAATGCAATATGGTATTTGGTTCTGAGAGTTAATTATGCTACTCAAAATAATCACAATTCTTTTTTTTTTAAAGGAAAATGATGAAAGTTTGTTTGATCCCCTAAAGTAAGTTTAGCTGTATAAGTTTTGTAAGTGAAATGTTCAGCTGGACCAATAAACTAAAAATTACTACTTAAATCAACTGGTTTTTCTTGACAATGCAGTCTGGAAACATGACGGAATTTTTATAGCAATGTTTCTGAGTTTGAGAATTAAAAAGGAATATATGAGTTTATTGCCTGAATGTGGTTTCATGTTTTCTCTCCTAAATTTACTATGTAAAGTCCCTTTGCCAGTGAAACACACCTGATCCTTACACTTTGCGAAGACATGAACCCATGTTTGGTATTCTCCCTCTTACACACATATTCCTCATATGAGTCTTAATGTCAACACAAATTGTAATGGATTTATTAAGGATTGAACAGCAACCCATGTTTTTAGCATTAAATCATGCTTGAATCTAGGGCTAATGTAAACAGAAAATGCAATATGCTTACCAGAAAGGAAGGATAAAAGGAATTTGTAGTGGGACTTCTTAGGCTAAACCTATAGCCTGTATGATCCATCAACTTCAGTTAAGAGCTAACAAATCTAACACCTAAGAAATTCGTCTATACTCCTTCCAAGCAATCTGTGTGAGAAATTCTTTCCTAAAGAAAGTAAATCTTGTTTTTCCCACTTAGATGGTGGTACCTTGGGTAATGGAAGACAGATGAGGCAGTCAGTCACACTCCTTGCTAAGTTGCTGTAACCAGTTGGAATATACACTAGAAAAAATGCATGGAGCTGTTCTTTTCATTCATCTGTCATTATGTTATACTTAGGTTGATGAATAAACTTGTTAAATTTTCTTTGTGAACATTAAACATCCTCCTTAAAACAGCAAACAGAATGAGCTGCTTGTGCCAAGTTACAAAAAAAAAAAAAAACACCCAGGAGAGTGAGAGTGAGAGGAAAAAGCATGTGTCAAAACACTGTATCGAATTTAAACAGACAGAAACAGTAGAACACATTGTTTATGCCACAGCCTAGATTTAAACAGCACTAACAAATGAGGTAGGTAAGAAACATGAAATTTCAACAAAGAAAACAATTCAGTTTGAACACTACTAAAAATCCACAAAGTTATTAAAATTATACATTCCATTCATATCATACAACTCAGGCTCAAGCTTCACAGCAGAAAAGTGCCTTCCAAAACATCTCCCCCAAAACCAAATTCACAGTTTGATTTCTTTTTAAGAGGGTGCATGCTTCAAAGAGAAACACAATGAAAGCAACAGGGAAGAGAAGAAAAACTGGGCAGTAAATGTTTCACATTAAACGCAGAGACTCAAAAATACACAAACATAGTAAGTGTCTATGTTTCCTCCATTGCCGGTGCCTTTACATAACTTCAAAGATGGGGGCAATCCAACTAGAAAGAATCCGGTGTCTTATCTTTTCCCCCAAACTAAAGATATAGTAATACTAATATTGCCTGTGTTTACAAAGTTTTTGGTAGTGTTTCAAAAACCTATAAAATCAAAGCCTCTGAGACTTTTGGGGGCAGAGTAAATTACTATCCACATCACAGTTAACACATTGGCCGTGTCACGTTCTCTGAACTCTGGCCACTGAAGACAGGAAGTAAACTTTATAAAAGGATGCCACTCCACATCTCTTCTCCCCCCCCTCCATAGCGTAACACAATCTCATTATGCTTTTCCACTTGAAATGAAGAAACTCAGCACATAATTATGTTAGATCATATGTTCTATATTGGTAAGGCTTATGAAAATAATAAGCAGGGGAAAGTATGGATGTGGTTATCGGCAGCAACCACTTAGCATCTAATTCCAGCTTAAACTGAAATTACAGATACACGTACTGTTTTGAATAGATATGGCCATTTTGAAGTGTCAAACAAGTTACTTCATGAATATCATTTTCATTCTCTTATCAGTAGAAAGAAAAGCCACATAAGGATTTCCCAATTCCTCAAGGCTTCAAAGAAAACCTGCTCCTGTCAACTATAAATCAGTGGACTCCTTGAGGAAATTCTACTTAAAGCAAAAGAAGAAAAGACTAAATGCAAAATCTGTATCTAAGCTTTACTTAAGATGCATTTCCTTCACTCACCCTTGCTATCCACATACAGAAAATAGGAATCAGGTCTGTTCTCATTGTTTGCAAAAAGCGTATTATGCCAAATTTTTGCTTGACTTCAATTCCAAGTTATTTCTGAATTCCACCCAAGAAGAAAAAAGGCTAGGTAAATCTAACAGTTGATCCGTGTAAATTAAGGTTTATTTTCCCTTGCCTACTGTTGTTCAGTTGTATAGTTTCCTGATGTTAAAAAGTCCCAGGCTCCATACTTTAAATAGTATAAGCAGGATTTTAAACTTTTTTTCTGTAGCCTAATTTGATCTAAATGGGGTATTTTCTGGGGTATTTTATTTTGTTATGTTTTTTTTTACATAATAAACTAAAAGTCTCATGTCTGTGTTTGTGATATCTACATTTTTTTAAATAAAGGAGCAATATATGTTGTAATTCTCAACTGAGACAAACTATGTCAGATTATGGGTTGTGCCAGTTCTACATGAAAATCAGGAATTGAATTAGAAAAGGCATGGGCAAGGCAAGAGGTGCCCAATTTTTCCTCTTCAAAATTGCTTTTTGCAAGTGGGAATACCCTGGTTTCAAAATTCCACCAAGAGAAAAGCAGCAAGGAGAGGCTATTTTATGAAGTAGGGAAAGTGGAAATTCAATGTATACCCTTGCACCATACAGCATTTTAAACTGACCCTGTCCTCTACAAAAAATCGGCAGCAACGTGACCCTGATATATATATATCTGCTATTGTTACACTGGTTTCCCTCCAACACTGAAGTATACTCTAGGGTTTACTCAATAATCAGGATTGCACAAATGCACCAGTGTTACACCACATTTTCACTTCGTAACAGAAAAACAATTCGTATATTTGTGTGCCTGAGAGAGCTAAATGAGCTAGGGACCTTTAATATAGATAAACCAACCTTTTAAGACCCTCATGGGTACTTCCTAGCAGTTTGCATTTTTACATAAGAGCAAACTAGAATACAACATTTTATGCTTTCATACAAGTCAAAGTGAATTGCTGACAAGAGTTTATTTAAAAGAGTTTAAAGTGGAAAAAAAGATGGAAGTAAATGTCATATAATCAGCTGTCTGCTCATTTTGTGCCCTCCCCCTCCTTATGGAGCAGATTATAAAGGCACAGATGGGGCTGTAGGAAGAGGTATAATCACCTCTCAACTGCTCGGTGAGTGGAAGCTGCTTCTGCTCATGGAAATTGCTCCACTGATTTCCCCACAAATCATATGTATGTCTTTTTAAAAAATAACACTGTTCTTGCCTAAGTTCTTCAAACTGAAACTTTTAAGTTATATATGATTTTACTGCTGCAAATCAGCAATGTACTTTTCAAGCATCAAAAGACTAAAACTATTTTTCTTTCAACTTTCCAGTAAAAATCTGAAAAGACACTAAGATTATCCATTACAAGGCACTGCAAATCTTGCAGGCCGAACAAAGAGGCTGCATTAAACAACAAGCAGAATCTTTGTCCAGAATGCAGAGGGGAGAAATATAGTCTATATAATATATCACTAAGACTACGGATGCTGTTTTACAAAAAAACAAGTAGCTGGTGTCTGAAACTGATTTAAATAAAATAATCTGCAGCAACTCTGATATTCTGGCCGCAGTACCATTAAACCAAATGGATATTAATTTTCAGATTTAAATGTGGTCTTTTAGATAACATTCAGTCACTTGAAGTTTAAATACTGTCTTAATTTTCATGAAATTAAACCTATTGCTTGCTCAAAATATCAGACAGCTGCAAAAATGGCAGTTTTAACATCCAAAAGACAGTAATTTAAGTCTGAATTTAAAATAAAGCATGGCAATTTTCATTCCAAAGTAAAGAAGAGGGAAAGTGAGCTAGATGTTATTTCAGCAAGTGCTTGAAAGGCTTGCAACAAAGGAAGCAACCTCTGAATGCACGTAAGAATACAATTTCCAACAAGAAAGGAACAAACTGATCATGTATTATGGAAAACAAGGAATGTTAGCTCCAGTGAATTATGACCTCCATCATACCGGGAGTTCACAGCCAATTAAGTTAAACATGTACCATTAAATTAAGCCAATTCTCTATCAAGATGAAATTATAATGGCAATATTCACATGGCAGCTGAAATATAGTTGCTAAAATTAGTGATTATATGAGATATACACCTCCAAGGGAGGATGCCTCTTTATTTAGCAATTTTTTATATCTCTTAAGGATTTTGAACTGGTAAATTTTAGACTTTTCTTTACATGACATCCAATGAGCAGCACGAGATGTCACTAAAAAAAAACAGAAAGCCTGCCACATGGGATTCCAGCACCATATCCTTACTGCCATACACACCTGTAGAATTTTCTTAATTTGTAAATGTAAAGATGGATCTTGCACCTTGGCAATCAAATTCAGTAAACACTAAAAACTTTAATGCTCTGAGAAACAACACTAGGCATCTAAACTAGGAGACTGTATTTCACTATCTGCTGTAAGGCAATCCATTAAATGCAAAAACTATGTGCACTAGACCCTGTTTCAATTTATAATCTTTTTCCAACCACTAAAGAAATGTTGAATATGGATCACAAATGAAGCGAAAATGGCCAAGATGGGACAAGTTTAAAAAAAGGCCCACAATAGTCCCCCAGCCCTAGTTCCCACCCTTTCCAATGCTACCTCCTCCCCCCCCACCCACTCCATAATATAAGATTTGTATCAGCTGCAAAATAAGCTTTAAAAAAACTCAAAAAGTCCCAAACACAGGTACAATAAACCAGGCCAACATTCCAATGTATCTACTGAATACAGTGTGTGTGAGGACATCTAGTTGCATTCTACAAATACTAGTTCTGAATTGTCCAGGACAGCTTTCCCAAATCAAAGAGAAGGCAGCAACTATATGCCTCTTCTTTTAGCAATGCTTCACTTCCAAAAGGCCTATCTCTGGGACAGAGGAAGGAAGAGTTTACAATAGAATTCAACTAAACAAACTACAAATATATATTTTTTTATCCTTAGCTAGCCTGTAGTCTGAGCTGCCAATGAAACTAAATGGAAACGTAACAATAATGCAAATATAAATGTCAACTCTTCTCCGCTGATCCCTTCCACTCTGTAAATTATTAATTCAAATGCTAGTAAGTGTACAATCCAAGAAGAGTAACTACCAACTTCAAAAACAGTTGTCACAAGAGCAAACAAGGGATATGGGGCAGGAATGACCGGGAAGGCTTATTAATAAGCAGCACATGGCATGCTGTCCATCTCAGGAACAAAGAGATGCACAGGCCAAAGCTCTCTCAAGTACTTAAAAAAATCCCCTAAAGAAAATGAAATCAAGTATTCAAAGAGGAGAATGCAAAAACAATCTCCTACCATTCCCACATCACTGCACTGGGGAATTCACCCCCAAATCCAGGCAGCAGAATGCAAGGCAGAAGAATGGAGTCATGAGAGATAGGCACAGTCCCCATATCTAGCAACCTTTTGCTATTCATCTTCATTTGGGACTTGGGGGAATGGGAGCTGGGTTTTGCACGGGTGATGCTGGAAATGCTGGCATGCTGATCCCTGGTTGAAAGGGTCCCACTGTCTGGGCAGGGACCACGACAGATTGTTGAGTTGTCCCAGAAATGCCCATCCATTGCACTGGGTAAGTTGTTCCCGCGATGGTGTTATACTGGCACAAATGTGGTATTCCGTATGGCGATAGTGTGCCAGAAAAGGGTGACAGGGGAAGTCCTTGGGGTAAAGCAGCTGGTACAGTCCCGCGGATCTGGGAAAGTGAGGAAATCCATGTGGAGGTGTAGCCCACAGTAGAGGTTGTTGTCTTAAACACAAGGGAAAACAGAAACTATTTTAAAGGCAAGGAAACATACTCAACAGCTGCCTGTGGCACATCTTAGTCATTTTAAATAGTACAGTTATCTGCTAACAGAAGAGCATGGAAGAGGACCGAAGATGCAGTGAAAGGTGCACACTTTTGAACAAACATTACCACGTAGTGGAGTTTTTAACTTTCAGGTTTTAATATCCTAGTAGCACTACTTCCTTTCTAAGTACCTACTCCCAGCTTACCATTCCCAGAGCTATTCATAAGATAGGGCTGTGTGCAACCCTGCTGCTTTCCAATACCATTCATATAGGGCACCTGGACTTTAAACAGAGACAATGTATTCAAAGGAGAAAAAAAAAGGTAATCTCTTATTGGTTGTGATCTATCCAGCAAATCCCAGAAAACCGAAAAACCTGGTTGAATCAGAGCTATTCCAGCATTTCTCCCCCTTTCACCAGTGATCTACCAGATGTTTTGGGAAAGTTGAAATGCAGATCATAGGCACAATAGCATTCTCTTTTATGTCTCCCTGCCACTGAGGTATATTAGGTCTGAAGCTGTGAAGAATATATAGCCTTAGCAATTTAGGGGATCTATAGGTTTGAGTTTTTCAAATACATTTTTTGATGACCCCAGTGTAAACTCTGGTGAAAAGCAGCAAGCTATTCTGAATGCTTAGAATGGATTGTCTGCCATTGTGAGAAGGCTTCATAAAATACAGTGAAAATAGTTTAATCAGAGGGATATGTGAAGGGCCTAAAAACACCCCATCAGGACAATGACTTTTGTTTACCTTAGAATGATCAGAGAAAATTTTTGAACCCTTTAGAGTTAACCATAGTTTTATAATAATGTAGTCCAAGTTTCATCTACCTATTAATAAAGAGAATTTAGTTAAACATACAAGGGTCATAGCTTTACACTGTGCTTGAAGCAGCGTTCAACACTTTCACTGGAAAAAATGTGTTTTCCATTTATTAACTGGTGATACTTTCTTTAGCAATACGTATCGACTCCAAACAAAGGTTTTCTATGCCTCTCGATCGATTTTGCACGTTCACTTGAAGGTATTTGGAAGCTGAACAACTTGTTTCAGGTCATGCCACACCATTTCACAAATTGTCTTGGCTACTCAAACATTTATCATTCTGTGGTAGATTTTACTTGTGAGTTCCTAATTCTAGTTATAAATGAAGTTTATCTAGTATTAGAGGAAGATCACATTACACTGTAAGTCATCAACAGTGCAAGTTTACACTGAAGGGTACCTACTATAGCCAATACCCTACCAGGCTCTTTTGAATTAGGGGAGGATAATTGCAATTTCCAGATTTCCCTTTGGTTGCAGCAGTTGGGAATTTGGGAAGTTACAAACCCAGCACATATGGAAGGTGCCAGGTTGAGAAAGGTGAATCTAACACAGGCATGTGAAACTGCCGGCCCGCAGGCTGGATACGTCACACCAAAACCACACCCACCCCATTGCTGGCAATGGGGAAAAGCTCCCGATATGTCACGTGACGTTGCCAGTTTGACACGCCTGATCTAATACATCACAAACTCTAAAGCTTGCATGTAAAGACCTCTTACCTCATATACTTTGCTCCAGCTGTCACTATCCAGCCGGTGCTTGTTCTGTTTGATTTGATTGAGGCTTGGCTTGATGAGGGAGTTTCCCACTTTTTCTTTAGTCCAGTCATCCACCAGTTTATGCAAATCATCTGTGAACATTCCTTTTTTACTGGCTGTTGTCTGCTGACAAGAGGCAGTGCTGCTCACGATGCAGAGTTGTTCTAAGAAGGAGCAAGGTTTTAGAAGGTATTCTTCAAGCAGTTGCCTCAAAACACTGAACCTGAGTGACAAGCCACTTCTGAGTCATGCAAACTATTCTTTTGCTCTATTTGTGGTCTGGAAAAGATCTTCCAGTATCATACTGTCATCCAAAGAGGTGGGGCTGAAGATATTTGCCCATGTTTAATTTTATTTGGGGCGACAAGACTGGGTGGTTTTAAGGGAGGGAAGGAGAGCATTTATTCTCCTCAAAGTCTTGCACTTCCATCGTTAAAACTTCCCCAAATTCCCCAAAGAAAGAGAATATCATACAAGCAAAAATCAGCCACTTTGCCAACCAATTTCAGCTGCATAATCTGTCATAATGAGAACCTACATGCAGACTACACCTACCCATGTATATTATTCTTGTTTAATCATTAAGATGTATAGGCTGCCTCAGTCACAGTGGAACTCTAAACAGCTTATAAAGGAGGAGGAGGAGGAGGAGTATAACAGTGAGTCTAACAAAATATTCAAATGTTTCTGACCTATTTCTATGTGAGGAGGAAGAGGGAAATGGTAATAAGAAAGCAAGTTTAGCATCCGAATTGCCCTTCTTATATATAACATTTGCAAATACCTTGGTTAGTTTCTGCTTGTGAACAGCTTTGGTGCAGCAAATGGGCTTGAATGCTCAATTGATAGTCAATCACAGAGGCAGCAGTGGTTGCACAACAGCATTCTGGGTGGCAGAGAAGGGAAAGACAAACAATCAAGCATCTAAAATAGCATATGCTATAGGCTGGGTGTGGGGACGATAAGGAAGGTGTGGATTGCATTCAGAATCAATATGCATAAATCTGTTTAGGAAAACTGTCTTAGTTGACTGGAGGAAAAGCGCAGAAAGCCAGGTGGCAAACGGGAGAGTCTTAAAGAGTTCTGAGTTGGCAGACATAATCTTGACAAACAACATGAAATCCTAGAGACTCATCCACAAACTAGTGAATTCAACTTTTTTGTTCTGAATTAGGGAAACCCTAGCCAATCCTCAAAAAGGCCCCTAGCTTGCGTATGGCGCCCACTTGCATTTCCTTACCAGCAGCAACAATGCCATTGTCGACATGAGAGTGAGATTGTGGCCGACTGCGCAGCTTGCTTTTGAAAGATTTAGGCCGTCGTGGGGACGACAGTTGCAGGGAGATGTCAGAGGATTCTGACCTGCTGTCTTTGATGGAGCGGAGACGATCATATAGCTCCTGCAACTCCCTGTTCTGCTGAGCTTGCAGGCTGACTACTTCTTGGATGTGCCTACACAGAAGCAGAGGAAAAGAAGAAAGCCTTGGCAAGACATAAGTTCTCAGTTACTCTTTCACCTCAATAGTCACCTCACAAGGGAAAGTAGGGAGCATAGACTCAGGCCAATGGCCTCTTTTACTCTCCGCTTGCTTGGGTTTCCTCAAGATGTGAGGGAGAGATGTTTCACGACCCACTGCTGCATAGAATGAGGCCGTCACCTGGAGGCAGAAAAAGCTGGAGAAGGAAGCCCAATCAGTGCTCCGACTTGCTCTGGGGAAACAGCACTTCTCCCTTTCCCCCACTATGATAGTTTAAGAACCTTCATCAAACGCTGGAAGGGTTGCAATCGGAAGGGAACATTTTTTCATATGTGGAGGACTTATGAAAGTGGGACCTTATTGGGAGACACCATTCAAAGAGAATAACAACTAAGCAAAAGTAGAAGGTATTCTAAAATTCGGATTATTGCATAGAAGTTCTAGGTTGGCAGGATCTGGGGCAAGAATGGGAGTTTACCTCGTCATGTGGTACTTGGGTCTCAAACTGTTGACTGGAAGGTTGGCTGCAACCTTCCGCGTGACAGGATGAGCTCCTGTTCTTGCCCCAACGCCTACCGACTAGCAGTTTAAAAGCATGTATATGCAACTAGATAAATAGGTACCACTTTGGTGGGGAAGTAACAGTGTTCCATGCGCCTCAGCATATACTCATGCTGACCACAGAAACATTTTCAGACAATGCGGACTCCCTTGGCTAGAAAATGGAGATGAGCACCACCCACTAGAGTCGGACATGAGTGGACGAGGGAAACCTTTACTTTTTACCAGGGAGATAATTCTAAACTAAGCAGAAATATCCTTATTGTATTCTTACTCCTGGCTGCAAAATTGAGAATTGCTCTAAACCGGAATTTTCTAGACAACTTCTCAATGAATACTGGTGTGCAAAAGTAGGCTCAGTTTCTCTTATGGGAAAACTGATAAAATTCAAACCATGACTTCTCAAAGGAATTGAATCACATTTTTGTCAGATCTGGAAAGATTATATATGTTATGCTCATAGTAATAACAACTTTTCTACTGTTAAATTGAATGTTATATGTAACCTATGGTTGAATGTTGACCTATTGTTATGTTCTGTTATCTTGTATTCTTGTTCCTGCTTGCCTCACAGAATATTACAAATCTAGGAGTCCTTGTGTGTAATAAGCAAGTTGTATACGGCACTTTCTGCAGTCTGTGTGAAGGAATACAAATGCCTCATAGTATCTCTTCTCTTAGTTCTGACAATGGATAAAGATACGGTAAAGGTTTCCCCTGTCCAGTTGTGTCTGATTCTAGGGGGAAGTGCTCATCTCTGTTTTTTTAGCCAAGGAAGCCAGCATTACCTGAAGACACTTCCATGGTCATGTGGCCAGCATGACTATGTCAAGACTGCTAACATCGGATGTTCTTGCTTGCCATATATGAAGAAGCAAACATGCAAACATGTTTTATTTAGCCTGCATATCACTTCTAGAGTTAAAGCAGACAATGTTAGCATAGCGGGTGGGAAAGTACGACAGTTAACCATAACAATATTTCAGTACAGCATTGCCAAGGTCAGCTGTAACCAGAGGAGTTACGGGAGGGACAGTTCACACTTCAAACTAATTGGAGAACGTTATTGATGACTGTAAAATGAAGGAGTGAGTTATGCTTTGTTACGGGTGATTGGGGATGGGAGGATTCAGTTTTTGGCTTCATTATGTACCTGCCGAAGCTATGTAGCAATAAAAGGATTCTTTAAGGTAAATAAAGCCTCAAAGTTCTTTGAAAAGCTGCTTCTGTTCGGAACCATGACAGACTACATGCCAAGGTGCATGGAAAGCTATTTATTACCTGCCCACCGAAGTGGTACCTTTTTATCTCTTTGCATTTGCATGCTTTCAAACTGCTAGGTGGGCAGGAGCTGGGGTAAGTAATGGGAGCTCACCCCGTTGCGTAATGCTCGGGGTCTTGAATCTGGGCTGTCAGCTTTCCAGTTGACAAGCTCAGGGTCTTTAACTGCTCAGCCGTTGTGCCCCCAGACAATGGATAGGAGCAGCTCATTGTGCGGGTTTAAAGACCCAAGAGTTCCCTCTACTTTACCTGCTTGCAAGGCATTCCTTGAACGATACTGCAAGAATAATGGAATTGGATTGGCTTTGTAGCTATGATACTGCCACCCTGGTCATGAGTAAGTGGGCATTAGTGGTGATTCCAGTGATGCTGAGAACAGGTTGTTCTTTCTGCTCTTTTTTAAGCGAAGGATTTACTGATCTGTTTTAGTTAGAAAAAATATGAAGCTGGTGTGCCAGTGTAGTCATAGATTATTTCTTCCCTTGTGGTATTCAACAGCTCCAATTACATGCTGAAACCAGGGATGCAACACTGAACTCACTTATTAGATGGATGCAATCTTCTGATTTATTTAAAAGACATTTCCAGTTTGATTCAAACTATTTGTAAGAAATACTCTATAGCTGACAGGCTCCCTCACAGAAAAGTAACCGTTGCTTCTTTCCCACCGAAGGAAATTATACTTCTAAAGACATACTTGTCTTGGTGCACAGGTACCATTTAAAAATAATGTTTTTTCCTTTTAAATGCACTTATCCATTTATGTGCAAATTTATGTAAATTCAGTGGAGTAACTGATGTGTAACTTATTAAAGGCAGGCAGCTCCATGCTAATAGTTAATTAATAATAAATGATAATAGAGAACAAAAAGAATCAATTCGGACCAACACAATAAAGTTTTGTCAGACAAAGACGAACTAAAACAGAAACCACCAGTAATAGCTTCATGGAGCAAAAAATATAATTGTACCATATCTGATTTCCCCCCCCCCACCCCAAAATTGAGTAATTCACTGGGATTAGATGCAATGCACATCTTTATAGGATAAGACTCAATGTTAGTGCCCTTACTTCTCCCGCAAACGCTGTAGCTCCAATTTCAGGTCCTCGTCTTCAATTTCAGATTCATCGTCACTGCTCATTGGGGAAGATGCCGAGTAAAAAAGAGAACTACGCCTCTTTGGGTGGGTGCCGCCCCTTTCCTCTTGAGACTGCTGGTTCGACTCCCAGCCTTCTAGGCTGCCACCACCCATAGGTGCAGACAGTTCACTGTCAGAGCTAGGCTGCTTCTGGATCACATCCCCTCTCGACCATGGCTCTGAGCAGGACTGCAGGCTGCCTGCAGCAGCAGAGGTCTCCTCCACTTCCTGATGTTCGGAGGCAGTGCAACATGCATCAGTTTCACCCATGGCACTGGCCAAGGTAGCCATTTCTTTTCCTCTAGGGCAGCCTTCTTCTGTTCCAAGCTCCAAAGAAGGAGGCATCTCAAAGAGTTCACTTTCTGAAACACCCGAGGACAACTGTTGTGGAACTGTAATGACCTGAAGCCCCCCCCAAAAAAGACAGAGAAGAAAGGCAGATTTAATTCAGCAGAATTCTACAAAAATGAAGCTTAAAATGAAGCTTAAAATGAGCTGGTATAAAAGGATTTGAGATTCACGGGGCATAAAAAATATATGCATTTCATTACGCACATTTAAACACTTACTTGTCTTCAGCTTTATGTTAATTAATCATCTGTCCTTAGTAGGTGGAATTAGAAGGAACTAAGAGTGAGTAGAAGCTTCAAGGAGACAGATACTTTATTTCGTTCACTTAAATTTTAAACCCCTGTCTTCAAAATGCTTTAAATGAATAGCCATATATTTAAAACAGTGCCAATCAAAGTAAATAAATTTAAGTAAAAGATGACAAACATATTATATTCAACATTTATTGTTCATTCAAGACAGTAAAATATATTTTCATAAGAAGCGAATAAATGGATTTGAACAAAAGAACAAATACATCCATTCAAAAAAATAGGAAAACAGTGTGACAGGCCATGTCAGCTCAGATTTGAACTACAATTATATAAACCACATCTGATTCTACAGCCAAAAAGCCATTAAAAAAAAAGAAAAAAAACATATTATATGACCCTGTAAAATACGTATGAGGATTAGACCACAAAGAAGAAAAGGCTATAGAGAATAATAATTTTAAAAATCATGGCACTATAACCAATTTTTATATATTCCCTTAAAAATGCATTTAATTCATGAGTGTCAATGTTTTGTAAAGCCTGCCCAAAAAAGCCTTCAAACTGCAGCTAAACTATCTAATGAAGAAGCAGGACAGTACCCAGTTGTTTTCTGCAACAGACTGAAGAAGTAGGGAGAGGGAGGAGGAAGAGTAAAAAATGACTTGGAGCAATTTAGAGCCCAAGGACCATGCAATAGGCACCTGAATGCCATTTATCCTCAAAGAGATACTAGGTGACAGTAAAATGCTACTGCAGCAAAGAACAGAAAGAGTTGCACAGAAAATGATCGCAGAAAAAGAATAACAGTGAATGGGGAATAAAAAAGCCAAGTATTACTTGGCTCTTTTTCCCTTTAGCAACCAAAATTCTGGTCCCAACTGTGGTTGTAAACTGAAGACTATCGTACATTAGAATTATATATGAAATATCTAAGCCAGTTCTGCAATTTTCTAGAAAGACTTTCAAACAGATGATTTCCCCAGTTGCCAAAACAAATTAATAGTTCAGTACTTCATTCTATCCAAAACAGCACATAAAATTCTTCTGATTTGCTTTGTGTACGATAAATAAGGGATTACATTTGAGTAATGTAATCTGGGTACAAGCACTCAACTGACAAGTGCATTGGGCAGCAGGAAGAAATACAGTATTTATTTGCACAGTTGTCTTGAATTTCAAATAATTTCAGTTGCGTAAAAGAACATAATGCACAGTGGAGACATAAAATCTGTTCCAACATATTAGTAGTCCTCAACTTACAATCACAATTGGGACTGGAACTTCGGACACTAAGCAATGTGGTTGTTGATTATACAACCTTTTGTATCATGCTCATTAAGCAAATCTAGCTTTTTGCATTGACTTTGCTTCTGACTCTGGGATGCTGCAACTGTCATAAATACATGCCAGTTGCCAAGCACCCAAATTCTGATCATGTGACCAGTTCTACAGTGGTAAGGGCAAGGGCCATCTTTAAGTCACCTTTTTCAGCATCATTGTAACTTTGAACAGTCGTTAAACAAATGGTTGTTAAGTTAAGGACTAGTTGTATCGCCATCATTTCTCCTTCTTCATTTTGTTGTTGGAGCTAACTATGATGTAGCATTACATCTTCAATAGCAGATTTTCTAACCATGATTAAGTTCATGGTTAGAATGGATTTGTAGTGTAGGGCTAATTTATGCAGGAAATGTTGATTTAACAACATTTTATTCCAAAAATAACGGAGACGGGGGAGGAGGAGGAGGAGGAGGAGGAGGAGGAGGAGGAAGCAACACAAAGAAGTTACATAACATCTCCTAACTTTCTAAATCTTAACAGATGACAATTCTATATTTAATAGACCCCTTACTAAAATATTAGGCAGGAAAAAAAAACTCTTCTTGAACCTCTCAGCTTTTGATACCATCGATCATGGTATCTTTCTGGACTAGCTTTAGGAGGTTGGAAGTGGACAGCACTGTAATGCTGGCTCTCCTCTTTCCTCCAGGGTTGGTTCCAAGTGTATTGATGGGGGAGAGGGGGAAAAGGTCCAGCCTGTGGCCTCCTAGTTTGTAAGGTGCTGCAGGGCTCAGTCCTCTCTCCTCTCCTGCTAAATATCTACATGGAGGGTAATCCAAAAGTTCGGGGTGAGGCATTAGATGAAACCCAGCTTTATATTTCCACCCTGGCTTGTCCAAGTGATGCCATTAATGTTCTATCTCTTATGGATACAGATGAGGAACAGCAGGCTTCAACTCAACCCTAGCAAGACCAAGTGGCTCAAGGTTTTAGGAGCCACTGGTTTTGAGGGCCTTCCATTTTTAGCTCTGGATGGGGTTGCACTCCTTCTGTGCACAATGTGGAAATCCTCTGGGACTCCTGGCTAAGAATAGGCAGGCACAGATGGAAAGTTTTTTCCACAAATACATTTTGTACGCCAATTGCATCCATTCCTGGACTGGGAGGTTCTGTTTATAGTAATTCATGCCTTGGTCATTTCCCGATGGGACTGTGCATTATGTGGGGCTGTCCCTGAAGAACATTCAGAAACTTCAAGTGGTACACAGTGCAGCAGACAAGCAGTGAGAGCTGCCTTTCATTTCATGCCTGTGACACCTCTGTTTTGCAAACTGCATTGGTTGTCATTATGCTTCCAGATTCAATTCATGCATTGGGCTGGGTTACTTGCAGAACTGTCTTTCTCTTTCCCAGGATCTACCTTTTATTCATTGTTAGCCATCCAGAGCCCCGTATTTGAAATGGCCAGCCATATAAATTTAAGAATTAAGTAAATAGTATCTTAGTTAACCATTTTGCTATATGTAAATAAACAAGTTGTGATATAAACTAGAGCTCGTTCAAGCAATATTTTATTTCTACACAAAATCCATTTGCAGGTAGAAATTTGCATGAATCTCATATATATATCATCCCTTAGGAGATATCAATAAAGTGTCTTGCATTAAAACTAAGGACCAGTTTCAAAGTCAAAATTTTCTTTCTGTCGCAAAGCCAGTTGACCCAGACCAATGCTTGGAGAAACTAGAACCCTAATTTCTGAAACTGATTTAGGCAGAGTAAAATACAATCACTCATCCCATTTTTCCTATCAGATTTCAATAATTAGAAGTTGATTCATTAACTCACATAATCAATTTTTTTAGCAGTAAAGTTTGCATGCAAAAGAATTTTGTATTGGTTAAACAGAGTGAGATTTCATCAATCTTGGCATTATCTGGAACCAAAAGAACCGACTTCTAGTTCAAGTATTTTCTTAGCATCCCGCACAGGTATCCACAGAATCAAATGCTTTTGACAAAATGACATAAGTAGTATCACAATGTGGAAAGGCAAATGACCAAAGCAGTGCAAGCTTGGCCCTTTTATACATATGTCCAGCATCACAACACATGTACAAGAGGAGCAGAGTTTTTGATGTGATCACATTATGTTATTTTTGTCATTTGCCCTCCAAAGCCCATTGCAGATGATTTAGAACCAATTATTGGCCCTGATTGGGAAGGGATTTATAGTTCAGAAGTAGGTGTGCCAAATGTCTAACTTACATTCCTATCATCTCCAAGGAAAAGATAAGCAGTACTGTGTATTTACACCGTGAAAAATCTCTGCTGCAGAGGCAAAAGAGCCATCATAGGTTATAAAGTACTAGATGAGACAGAGATATAGTTGACCTGGCATAATATACATTTCTGTACAGAATGCTGTATAATACTGTACAGGTTCTGCTGTAACATATAACAGTGCCCTTTCATCCTATTGTTATGGAATCATATCTACACTGTCAGACATGCCTGAACCAGCATTGCTGTCTTTGGAGACAACTGGATAAGCATCTTTTAAATTAAAAAAGACAAACTGAGGATTCATCTATAGTTAGTAAGGCATAAATGTATTATCCCCAAAATTTGTTCTCTCTGCTTGAGGCTTCCCAATACAAAAATAGGAAAGCTGCACACTGCAGTAGATTCAAATATGAACGATGGCTTCATCTTCTTGACCCACTTTCTTCTTCTGTAAGCCCTTTTTTTAAAAAAAACCAAAACAAAACAAAAAACTAGATAGCTGCTGTTCTTTTCCTAAACCCAATTAGATGCAATTCCTGGCCAGGGTGGTGGTGGTGTAATTTAAATATCCCTGCATCCTGTGACACTGATGAGAATCATCTCCTAATTGCAGCAATTAGGAGGGGGAACAAAATCTCCCTTGGATGCAATGGGACCTTTTTCTAAGCCTAATTACCAAGCTAGGAAATTGTCTTCAAAATGGCAAATGAGAAGCAGTGATAGAGAAAATGGGGGGAGGAAGCAGGGAATAACAAAGTGCAAGAAACAAACTTCAATAAAACATGTGCTAAATTCATGTTTATTAGAAAAGATTGATTACTTTGCCCGGGGTTGAACTTAAAACCAAATCAGATTATGGTTTTTTTGGAAGTTTACTTTGGTTTTTAGTCAATTGGCCCATAATGGATATGAGATATAATAATCATATACAATTTTTTCAGGCAACCCATTTTGAATTTGAAGTGCCCTGTTTTGAGTTTGAAACAATTGTTTCAAGAAACAGCAGTTTTACTCTCTCAGAAACCTCTCCAAATTTGAATCAATTTTTCAACTGAAGACAATTCAGATTTGAACAGTTTGCACAGTACTAGTAGATAACATATGCAACCTTGTAGCTTACAGCTACAAGCCTGTGTTACTATGTAAACCTGATCAAAATACCATATCTCAAATTCTTAAATAATACAGCATAGAACTAGCAATGAAGCATGCATTAAATGATATTCATCTGCTTCTCATAATACATCAGAAAAGTATAAGCCAGCTATCATTCATTCAACAAAGCTATAACCAAAAACCTGAGCTTCAGTTATTCTTACTCAGTTATTTTTACTCAAGTTAAGATAATGACTTAAAACATATGCCACCTAGAACAGTGTTTCCCAACTTTAGCAATTTCCAGGTGTATGATCTTCAATTTTCAGAATCGTCAAATATGGGAGTTATAGTCTACACATTAGGAAGTCAACCAGTTGGGGACCCAACTCAATACCTCAAGTAATTATTACAGTTATGCACTTGCTGAAAAGCCAACAAGAATTATTGCGGAACATACATCCTTTATTCAACATATCAACAATAAATTATTTTTGATCCCCCTCATACATTCATTGTTGGATGGGACATATTTGAGTATGAATGAATGAATTAAATTATATTTACCTGAAATCTGCCTCGCTGGAATGATCCAGCTCCAGATTTAGAATGACCAGATACTTTATTCTCTCTGATTGCTTGCTCAGAAAGAGAAATCCAATCAGGAGCAACATCAGCAGTCATGTCCTCTGCTGTGATTTTAAAAAAAGGAAAAAAAAGGCAGGTGGGGGGACAAACACAAAGGAAAAACAAAACAGGTCGGGTCAGGTAAATCTGTGACCATGTGAACACCAACAAACAGTACTGCATTATAAAATAAGATTCTAGTATACATGTAGGCTTTTTTTTAAAATATCCCAAGACCTATGCTTCTATGTGGAATGAAAAAACTGGTTAATCAAACTGGAAAACAAAGTGGTGACAGATGAAATGTTACACAGGGATATATGGATTTGCAGGAGATGCCCAAATTTAAAAAAAAAAAGGAGGAGGAGGAGGAGGAAAGATAAACATACTTAAATAAATCAAAACAGATGTTACCTAGTCTAGATCCCTGACTGTAAGCACACTACCTTGCCGGACTTTTGATTTCTTGAAAAAGCTGGTCTGCCGTAGCCTGTATGCCCAGCTTTTTAATTTGCGAGTCCAGGATTTCTTGCTAATAGGGTTTTTGAGACTAGGGCAAGTAAAGCTTAGGCCAAAATATCCACCTCCTGCATGCAGGTGCACAGCTCCACCACTTGATTCTGAAGCAGGACAAGCCACAGGATTCTCAGGAAATGAAGCCTCCAAGGACATCTCCTGAACAAAACAAGGGGAGCAGGGGAGCAAGTAGAAAAAAGAAACAATATTTGAATAAGAGGATGGGGATGCTTCACAAACCACTTGAACCGCTTTAAAGATTACCTCCTTGCTTAATGTTACATCATCAAATCTCTAAACAAATCTAAATGTCCAGTTCCTGAAAATCTTAATTGGTTAAGTGAAAAATGTTAGGAATGCTTAAAACCCAATTTTAAAACCCTGTTTAATTCATTTATTAAATCAATTTCCTAATTTATTTAATTTGACATATAATCAGGTCTCTGCTCCCTATTACTATTCACATACAATCAGATTTCTGTTCCCATTCAAAAACCACATGTTACTAAATTGATGAATAGGGAAAAAACCTGTTGGAACCATCTCTGTGGGCTTACCTCTCATTTGCCAGGATCAATGAAGGAAATGAGTTTATACAGGCATTCAGCAATATTCTGTTATTTCTTCAGTGGGCAAAACAATTTTCAGCCCCTACCAAGCCTGTCAATACTCACATCTCTGCAGAAATCCCTGGGAGTAGAAGTAATAACCCTGGCCTCTTGCCTCATCACTGGCAAGCTATCAGGATGACTTCCGGATGGAATGAGTGCAGCTTGAGGATCGATCTCTTGGGGGGAACTAGTGTCTTGTGTTTCATGTCCTGGGCAGGGGAAAGTGTCTTCAGCAGATGAGGAAAAGGGAGACTCCACTGCACTTTGTGTGTCTTTCTGGCTCTCAGGAGAAGTGCCTGACAAGCTGTGCTCCTGATACAGAAGTGTCCGCAGCTTTTCATCCAGAGTTTTGATGTTGTTATCAACAAATTCCATCTTAGGAGGGCCCTCACTGTCTGACTCCAGAATGGATGTGGAGAGAATTCCTTCCTGACTTGGAGTCTGCACCAAAGCAGCTCCTTGCTCAGCGTTTATTCCATGTTCTGCTTCCTCAGTGGTCAAAGTCTGACAAGACGTTGGTTTGGATTCAAAGGCTTCTGTGGACAAATTCAACTCATTCACAACAGGTGCTGGATGAGGTACATATGAAGATAGGGGAGCTCCATTAGACTGAGTCTCTGCTGGCAAAGGGTCCAGCCAAGCCCCGGAATCGTAAGTAGTAACGTCACTATTGTCACCTGTAGAGACAGATGGTAATTTATCCGTGCTGCCTTCTGCTTCATGAGAAAGAGCTGAATGTTCAGGTTCCAAAATTTGGGGTTCAGATATCACACTGTCATTTGTCAAATCCTCTGAGCTGAAAGAAGGGCTAAGTTTATGTTGGTTACTAAGATTGTCTACAACCTGTCCACAATCATTGGGTCTCTCTTCTTTTGTACTTTCCTTTATGCAATCTGTAACAAAACAGATGAACAACTGAGGCTGACAAAATAAAACTCCAGAAAAAAACACATTATTAATAAAACTTTAAAAGCCCATGTCCATGTCGATTACTACTACTGTCTCTTTTAAAATGTAACATTTCACAGTAAAAGTTCGTTAAAGATTATTATGATCAAGGGGGAGATGGTTTAAAAAATTCGGATGTCACTATTTTTAGACTTGCTTAGGAAATTAAGCCCTACGAATCTGTAACAGAAGATCCTCATCAGAACTGGTATCCTGCAGGTATATTGCAACCAAATTTCCCAGAATTCTCAGCTAGCATGGCTCATGGCATTACAATCCCAACATATTTAAGGGCACCAAGGTTGGGAAAGTCTGGACAAAAAAGATATCACAGAAAGAGCCCAGAGAGAAACAATGAAATAACAAAAACTCAGATTGAGGTGATAAAATCTTGTGTTTTTTTCTTTTAAAATTTTTATTTTTAAGCTACATCTCATTAAAATACTTTGATTAAAAATAATAAAAAACAGCAAAGTAAAAACTAAAAGGATGGGTTGGGAAGGGAAGGGGAAGAAAACAAGATCATATAAACAATAACATTTAACATCTGGGCAAATAAAGATTGTTTTTTAAAAAATTATTTCCAATTATTTTATTAAGATAGAATGGTCATTGTTTTATTAAATATATAAATTTAATGTTAATTATTATAAGAGAGTGATATATTTATTTTTTGCCCAACCCTAATCCTAATGAAATCATTAACTTTCTTCCTCAGGGATGATATAACACAAATTCAGTATTGAACTGAATATGAGTGAAGCTGATTATGCTGTGTTCTTTATTAAAACATGAAGATTTGCTGCAGGTATTAAAGCTGATTTTATATAGTATATGGTGTCACTCTTTATGACTATCCATTACCATGCTAATCTAAGAAAAAAATAAAGTAAAAAAATGGCAAAGTTAATTCTGTGACCATAATTATTGTGCATGAACCAATAAGGCCACAAACACTTATGTTTTTTTTAAGAGTGACTGAAAAGAATGGTAAAAAAATGTGACATTTCCATCAAACTTCAGAAAAATGGAAAACATTAGCACAAAATATGAACAGAATCACTTTAACATAGAGTAAGAGGCTGGGATCTCAAAGAGCAAGCAACCTCTATTAACTGACTGGCTATCCCTAAAGTAATGAATTATTTTCCTATGAAGATATTTATAGGAATATATCTTCATAGGAAAATACTTTACTACTATTTTTCCCCCCAAAATAATTTGCTTTCAAAATGGGAATGTGATCACAGGGCAAATAAGGCTTTGTGTAAATTTGTTTAATCTTTTGGGGGATGGTACGTGGTTTCAAATTCAGATTGCCTTCCTTTCATGTAAATGCAATAATAGTGAAAAGGAAGATTCTCAAATAGTCTGCTGTTCTTCACCGCCATTCACCTAACACTTTGCAATTTGAGCCACTTTTATTTAAGCAGAGGCCAGTTCCAAAATCATCCCGATGTTATACTACCCCAAAGAAAAATCTGCAATTTTTTTTCCTAAATCGTATACAGTATTCACCTGTGGTCTGACATCCTTCAACACTTTTCATTGACTCTACTGGGGTACAAGACGTCTGGGTTTCTCTGTTCTTTATCGTTTGGTTGATGCAAAACCTCCAGCGGCCAACAGGGGATGACTGGGGAGCAGCATCACCTAAAAGGAGAGAGAGAGGCAAGCAGGGGAAAATCATGTAATTGTTTTTATAATTACAAGAACAGCACTGCTGTTGCAGAAAAGGAATCTTAAAAGTAATATGATAGACAATCAGCAGGGCTAATCCAAAGATCTGGATTTGAAAGGGGAGAGCTGATTTGCAATATGCATGGGTGCTCATGCCACCCTTGTTGACAACAGCACATGGAAAGACTTAATTTTCCTGAATGTTCATGATTGCTGCTCCGAGAGCCTAAGAATAAGTGTGTTTTATTTAAGAAGTTAAAATGTCCAATGTGTACACTGATGTACGTACGCTTTGAATATTTTTTCCCCTTCAAGTCTGGATCACTGTAATCCAACAAATTAGGATTCCTGTGTTAGGTGATAATCCTTAATATTAGGATTAGAATTAGGATTAGAGTTATTAGACATAAAGGAACCCTAAGGTGTATACATCTGAGTAAATATTTATTTACTAAGTATTTACTTAGTCTGACACTGTGTGAAGGGTGGACTTTCCTCCTTCATGGATTTTTTAAACAGTATTTAGATGCATTTTAAAATATGAAAGTAGTGTTCCTTTAGAAGCCATTAATGAAACAGAAAAGCCTTTCTTCTTTTCCCTTTCCTTTCTGTATAAATCGATTATTCAAAATTATTCATCTTCTGGCTGACAATACACACACTTTTGTTTATTCGTTGTTAATGTATTAATTAATTCAATTTAGAGACCACCTAATTCCACAAAAACTCATTTTGGGTGATTTACAACATTAACTGCAAGAAAACAATACAACAATGAGACCAAAAATTGTGAATATCTGGAAGAAAGAGGATACCTAATTGGATAAAATTCTACAGAGGCTTGATACCACCCTATCCCAAAGCCTAAGTTTAAGGATGTTCATTAGTAAAAACAATGCTTCTCAGGCCATATTTCAACTATATTTATCATAAATTGCATACACATCTATGAAATCTGCATTATGTGACATATCTGTGCTTTGCTTGTCTTTATTAAATGTATTGGTACATGACATATTGATCCTGTTTCAGTAGAACCATTTTGTATTAATTAACTTTATTCATTTGTACTATTATTTAATTTCAACTGAAACAATCAATAGTACTGCTGAAGTGTCATACAGTAATCATGAGTTTAATTTCCATGGAAAGACAGTCAAATCAACAAAGAATATACGTGTGTGTGTGTGTACACACACGTAATCAATAAAATAGTCAGATTATTAATAAATTCAATAAATTTCCTTTTAATTAAGAGTTTTATTCTTTCTCAAGAGAAAGCTCTCTGATACACATATGGCTTGCATGACATATTTCTATTTTATCAAAATTTACACTGATTGTAACGTTAATCACTTAACCCAGAAAAAGATCCATAACTTTTATTGACACCACAGACTGAAGGATTAAGATCCAAAGAGCTGTATCAAGCTACACCAAGGTTTAAACAAACCAAGTAACAATCATAATTTGCTTTTGAAAGCTCAATATATTTTACAACTCTCTTCATGTATGATAAGAAAGACTTCTGCTTTATAAACACAACCAATTATCACTCAACTCAGTCTTCCCCAACATGCTAATTCTAACTCCCCAAACTGACAGCCAGCACAACAGATGAAAATTTTGCAAGTTGTATCCTAATATTTATTTAGTAGCTTTATTGGCCAGCTCAACCCAAAAGAACTATAAATACTGCCAAACAGCTCTACAGAAAACCAGATTGTGATTGACTACGATAATGTTTGAATTATGGAATGTTGGATTATGGCCAGAATCATAAGCATTATGGTCCTCTGGGGACCTAAAAGACATGCATGTTAGAATTATGTGAAATTACAAAATAAAAAAGCAGATGTTTAGTTTGAGAACAATAATAAAACTGGTATTGTTCTGCTAATGCAATTATTGAAACAAAATTAAGAAATCAACCATGTTTGAAACTGACTGGTTTTGTATCATATAGAGCAGAGGTGTCAAACTCGTCGCGTCACAACTTTTTTTCCCTTGCCGGAGCTTGGGTGGACATGGCTTCTGCGTGATGCATCTGGCCCGTGGCCTGGCAGATTGACACCTCTGATATAGAGGACCACAATACATAGTTCACACTAGACAACCCATAACCCATTGGGTCCTTGTTTCAGAGATAATTTGTTAAAGAGAAAACAGAACGACCAGGAGTGGGCAAAAAAGCAGTGGGATCGTGAGTGATTTTGGACTTCCTGCCGGTTTCTCCATTAAGTTTCCTTGTGGGAAATGGCAAAGAATATCAGAATCCTTCCTTTCTTCCTCCCTCCCTCCCTCCTTTCCTCCCTCCATTTTCTTTCCTTCCTTCCTTGTTTCCTTCTTGATATTAAAGTGCAAACTAAATTGGCTAAAATGATCATTCCATGTTTGGACACAGCACTGCAATGCTGTAGTAGTGCTCCCTGTGGTAACTGCGAGCAGGACATAGTTGTCCTGGAGCAAGACCTAGGGAAAACTACGATACAGGTCTTGCATGATGCTGTCCATGATGCGTATTATCAGCAATGGAGATAATACCAAACCTTAGTGCATGCCAACTTTCACAGAAAAGTTGTCAAAAGGCTGGTGGCACATCTAACTCGGCTGGCTGGCATAATGACCCATTTTATGACTAGCTCAGGCACACCATAGTCACGTACTTCAAATTCATGCCACTGATAGCTTTGATAACCTCTTGAGATGTATAGTCACATGCAGGACTGGGCCAATGTTAGATGAGCCAACAGGGATTTGCAAGTGTGGAAATCTGACATCAGAGATTTCATCAAAGTGCTGCTGCTGCTAGCCTTTCAAGATTAAGCTTGCCCTGCCATCCATTTTTCTCCTTAATGCATATGTAGTGCTCAAGGTCTTTTGCTGCCTTGGCGTTCATTTTCACTAGTTAATACAAGTGGTCCTCGACGTACGACCACAACTGAGCCTAACATTTCTGTTGCTAAGTTTCTTAAGTGAGTTTTGCCCCATTTTGTGACTTTTCTTCCCATGGTTGTTAAGTGAATCGCTGCAGTTCTGAAGTTAGTACCACGGTGGTTAAGGTAATCTGGTTTCCCCACTGACTTTGCTTGTCAGAAGGTTGCAAAAGGAGATCACATGACCCGGGGACACTGCAACCCTTATAAATATGAGTCAGTGGCCAAGCATCCGAATTTTGATCATGTGACCATGGGGATGCTGCAACGGTCGCAAGTGTGAAAAAAGGTCATAAGTCACTTTTTTCAATGCTGTTGTAACTTCGAAAGGTCACTGAACGAACTGTTGTAAGTAGAGAACTACCTGTAGATGTTTTTCTCACCTTCCGTGGTGGACTGCAGTACGTATAAGTCCTGACAGTGATTGGCTTTGGTGGTGAAAGAGCTTTCTTTGCCACTCTTCTTGCAGTGATGTACTTCTGCTAGTTTCTGGTGTTCTTCTGCACCCACCATTTCTGGTATTCCATCTTCTTTTCCCATACTTTCTGCACTTGCTCCAGCCAGTCACATCTGCTCGTTGATCTGATGTTATTATTCAGATAGTGCTATTCTTAGTGTTATTCTCACTAAGAGAGAATATTCTCTATTCTCAGTGAGAGTAGAGCACTAGGAAGCAGTAGAGAGCAGTCCATGTGGCATCAAGCGAGCCTGTGGTGACTGGAGGAAACACAATGTGGTTAATTAGCCACCTTGTGGTCTTGTACTTTCCACCACTTGATTTGTGGATCTGGATCTGTCATATTGTTGCTATTCTTTGCACGCTTGTGAATCTTCTTATTGGCAACAAACATCCAATTTGTTGTGGGGCGAGGATGGAATGACTTTTATGTCCATAATAGTGGGAAACCCGTGTCATTGGCTGAGGATAAGTCAATCTGGCTGCTGCTGACATAGGTGACCAAATGACTGAATATTTTTTTTAAAACAAAAACAAAAAAGATAACAGGGTTGGAAGGGACCTTGAAGATCTTATAGTCCAACCCCCTGCTCAAAGAGGAAACCCTATACCATTTCAGACAAATGGTTGTCCAATCTCTTCTTAAAAACCTCCAGTGTTGGAGCACCTGCAACTTCTGGAGGCAAGTCATTCCACTGATTAATTGTTCTCACTGTCAGGAAATTTCTCCTTAGTTCTAGGTTGCTTCTCTCCTTGATTAGTTTCCATCCGTTGCTTCTTGTCCTGCCTTCAGGACATGTTGGTTGGAGAATAGGTTGACCCCCTCTTCTTTGTGGCACATTGGTAATGATGAAACTGTTTGCTTCAGAAAAATCTAGGACTTTCTGCCCATTATTATTTTGCATAGCATATCCTTTGCCACTGTCGCAACTGTAGCCTTCCTGAAATTGTCCAACATGTAGGTTTAAGTCACTGCAGAATAGTAGCAGTTTTCCTGTGGGCATGCAAATACACAATCCTATAGTTCCAATCAAAACTAGTCTTTTCCTTCTTTTTCACATCCAGTTTGTGAAGCATAGGCCCCCAAAAAACATATCATCGATGAACAGGGTTGATCATAGTTAATATGAGGTAACTGGAGTATCAATGGACCTCAGCAACATGGCTGCACAGATCAGCTATAATGAAGCCATGGTGGCGCAGTGGTTAGAATGCAATGTTGCAGGCTAACTCTGCTCACATTGCCAGGAGTTCGATTCCTTCGATCCTAACTAGCTCAAGGTTGACTCAGTCTTCCATCCTTCCGAGGTGGGTAAAATGAGGACCCAGATTGTTGGGGGGGGGAATATGCTGACTCTGTAAACCACTTAGAGAGAGCTGTAAAGTACTGTGGAACAGTATATAAGTCTAAGTGCTATAGTATTAGTGGTATAATAGCTACATCTTTGTTATTGGACACACTGTGGCAAATTAACTAATATCCTTCATTGTCATGAGACTTTTAGTTTTTCCAACACATTTCTTGTATGCACACAATACCCATCTTACATTGCTTCAGCATTTCTGCAAGCTAACAAGTGCATCCAGTCAAGGTGTCAATGTTCTATGTGGCAATGTGTAATGGTTGTACATTTTGTATTTAGAATGAAATTCCTGATTTGTGTACTAGAATCTATTAAAGTAAAATTAAGTTCTAAATATTTTTTGTTACTCTCATATATAGAAGAAAATGCAGGAGTGCCTAAAGCTGATTCTGCATTCAAACTGAGTTAGTCTAAGAATTTCTCTTTTTAGGATAAATCTAGCA